GCAGTGAACTGAGATCGTGCCACTGCACTCCAGCCTGGGCAACAGAGGGAGGCGTTATATAAAAAAAAAAAAAAAAAAAAAAAAAAAAAGAAGAAAGACATTTTGCATTGCCAGCAAGGTGATGGCCATGCTGTTGGTCTGGAGATCCACACTTTGAGCACAAGTCACTGGAGAATCTTAACACTGACTTCTGCATATACTATCATCTTTTAAATATTCTTCTATCCCACATGGCTGAGGGAGACCTTCAGACCTTAGAGGCTAGGTGCTACTTGGTCCCTCCTACTGGCTGGGGGTGAAGAGCTTGATGCAACTATAAATCCATCCATAATCCAGACTGAGCCAATTGAAACTCCTTGTGAGAATCTGAACTGAGAAATAGAGACTGGGCCTGCCAAGAAGTGGTGGACACTGGAGCTGTAAGGTCCATTGTCCTTGAGCTTAGCACCAAAACAAACTAAAGGCATATGCAAGTTGAAGTTTTGGGAAAGTAGTGATCATGAGGAAGCAGAGGAAGCTGGTTTTCAGGAAAACAGTTGGAGCTGAGGCATAGAATCTTGATGAGACAAGAATAAGCAGCTCTAGAGTGTGAAGATCATGATACCTTATGCAACCATCCACCTTAAACATAACTTCCACAGATATCTGGACTCCCTGGACTGGCTTTTTGCCTCTCCTTCTCGCCTTGGCTAACTCACACTCTCCTTTTGGGTCTTTATTTAGAAGACTTCCTGGGGAAAACTTTTCCTGCCACCTGAAACTACTGGGTATCCTCCCATGTATCCCCATCATACCCCATCATGTCCAGTTCACAGCCCTTGTCACCATTTATGACAGCCACCATTTGGATACTTACCATTTGTTGGTGCCTTATATATTCTTTATTAAATACATTTTTTAAAAAACAGTTGAACTATAGATACTATAGTTCCACTTATTATGATATTCACTTTTTACATTTGAAGGAGCTCAAGAGAGGTTGTTAGATAACTTGTCTAAGATCACATAGCTTGTCGCTGGTGGCGTCAGGGTTTTAGGGCAGAAACGATTAACCTCAAAGCTTGTGCTCATAGCCATCATATCTCTTTTCTTTAGATTGTAATTATGTATCTCTGTTTTCCACTCCAGCTTCAAGATTATGACTATGCCTGTGTCTTCATCACTATATTACCATGTCTGGTAGTTGTCTGGTACATAGCAGATTCTCAAAAGTATTTTGTTGAACGTGGCTGAATGTGAGTGAATAAAGTTATTTGTACAACCAGTCAATCTTCTAAGATAACTGGGTGCAGGATTATGTAGCATTGCTGTTTAATCAGGATGTCCTGAACAAACAAACATGATTGTAAAATACGTAACTTGTAGATCAGATATGCACCATACTAATTCTGCTCCGTGTTGCAAATTCCAGATCTATGTATCTACGTGGTTTTTAGACCATCCCTTGTCGTAAACTGCTGGGTAGACGCCTGGAATCATGGCTTGGATTCTAAATGTCGTGTGGGTACAACTTCCAACCCAGACCCTCCCTGCACACAAACATTTTCAGAACTCTCTTCAATCTAGGTGCTATATAGTGTCCTGAGAATCCACCGTAGCTGTATTTTTTTCCCAATATTTATACATGATTCGAAATGTAGAGTGACGTTGTTACTTTTCATGACCTGTTCACTTGCAGTTGTCTGTGCCCTAAAGCCTGGAAGAGGAGATTGGTACGGGAAGCACTGGCTCCATTGCTGCAAACTTGCTTAGTCAGCACCATCACTGGCGGCATGAGTGGACAAGTCAAATAAGTATCTAGCACTACTGCCTCCTGACTGTTTCTGTAAACAACATAAGATCCCTGCCACAGAACAAATCAAGGCAAACATGCAAACAACCCTAAACCAAAATTACCAGTGACTGCCATTCTGTCCTCGTTAAGCGAAGACTGAGGGAGTTAAAGCAGGTCGATTGTTTTTAAAATGCTTTCAGCCAGGTGTAAGGCTATCTGCAGAAATGTGCTTTGCCCACGTGGATCGCATGGACGCTAATTACTAAGAAGCTGAGAAACGTGTAGCCGCGGAGATTGGCCGCTTCACGGGGAATAAGCTGGCACCTCTAGAAATAAAGCTCCGCAGCCAATGTGGCGCCTCGGCCCGCGGGATTGGTGGCCTCGGTTATGACGTTACCTGGGCTGGGCGGGCCGGGCCGGCTGTAGACGGAGGCCGCGGGCCGAGTCTGGGGAGCTGAGAAGCAGCGGAGAAGGGATCTGCAGCGCTGCGCCGGGACCGCGCGCCCGCCCTCGGCCAGCGAGGAAGGTCTACTCCCACTCATCTGGCCCGCGTCCCCCGGCCGCGGCACCGGATTCCGGCGTGGGTGTGCACCCAGGGCCCTCGCTGCCCGGCGCGGCCAGGGCTCCCCAGTGTGCGGGCTCCAAGGGGATGCCCAGGTTAGGCGGGCGCGGGGCCAATCTGGGCAGGGCCGAGGCGGGATTCTCCCTCTAGCTGTGCCCAGGCCGTACTCCTGCTGCTGTTCCGGCAGGGAGCGCGGCGAGAGCAGGAGGTGCGGGAGGTTTGGCGAGCACACCGGCCCTGGGTAGCTGCAGCACAGGAGACGGATCCAAGTTGCTTGGCTCGGCCCAGGCAGCGACCTGAACCCGCCGCGCCGCGGGAGGGGTGTGCAGAGCGCTGGGCTGTGCCTCGGCAATTTCACTTCTCCCGCCGCTGGGGAACGGAGCGGGGGAGGCGCAGAGGGCTAGGAGAGGGGTTCGTAATGCGTTCTTCCAAGAAAACTTTTTCTCCCTTGAACGTGAAGGAATACGTGCTCACTGTAGAAAACTGGGAAAACATGGGAAAGTACTGTGTAAAAAATGGGGGGGAGGGGGGGCCGAGGCGTGGGAGTCACTCCGGGGCGGGGGCACAGCCATTCGCTGTGCTAACCGCAGCGGGGTTCGAGCGGCGGGCGGTGCTGCCCCAGGGGCCGGGGGGGGGGGGGGCGCGGAGAGCCGCGCGGCGCCGAGGGCTGAGATTTGAGGAAGTGGGAGCTGCCTGGGCGGGGGCGTCCCGCCGAGAGTCCGCCACGCAGCGTTTGTTTCCTTTCACTTCCTGCGGCAGCTGCTCTAGATGAGGAGGTGCGCGTGGCCCGGGCAGAGCGGCCGGATTCTCCGGGTGTGAGCGCCCACCCACCGCCAGCGCCAGTGCTTCCTTGACCGCTCAGGTTCGGCTATGCGGGAGCCGTGAGGAGGAGGCTTGCAGTGGTGGACCTGAGAGCTCGGGACGTCATGCTGGCTTGCTTTTAAGTGGCTTGGGGAAAGTGAAGAAACCCCAAAATGGAGGACTTCGCTACCAGGACCTACGGCACCAGTGGCCTGGACAACAGACCTCTATTCGGGGAGACGTCCGCCAAGGTGAGTGCGGACTGTGGCTCCAGGAGCGGATGGGGGGTGTGTCTGCCGCCCGCCCTCCCGTCGAGTCCCGGCTGGGTCCTTCTGCGGCTCCCAAAAGCACTTTTAGGGAGGAAGCTGGTTCTGCAATCCCGCTTCCCTCTCAGGATGTTTGCCCGGCCACTTGTCGCCTGCTTTGGGACATGGTTGGCCAAGAGCCTTGAAGGCTGAAGAAAAGTTCAGAAAGTTCTGGGTGATTGGAAGCCCTTCTGGGGAGTGCGGAAGCCTCTCTGGAGGGGAGGTTGATTTAGTAGTTGCACAGCTGCACCTTCAGCAGGAGTACTGACTCTCCAAAGTCTTCAGGTGTGCGCCCACAGCTTCCTAAGAGAGCCGAAAAGGCTGCTTCTGATTCTTGTTTACAGAACTCTTAAGGGTTCGCTGCTGAGCAGTGAAGCAGCAAGCAAGGAAAGAGGGGAGAGGCTTGAGGTGAGGGGCTCTAGAATGATAGCTTCTATTCCAGGAAGTGATCAAAGGGTCCCTGAACCCAAGCAAGCAATCGTACATTATTCTAGACTTTAAAAAGCATAACATCTTTTAAAAAGGATTAATTATGTGATGTGCTGGGCCAACAATTGAGGAGAGATGTTTTTCTATCGTCAGCATTAACTTTCTGAGTACTTTGGGCAACATACGCCTAGTTTATTTTTTCACCTGGAAAGTGGCATTGGTTGACTGGTCCCAGTGCAGTGTTGTTGCCAACTGATCACAGCCAGTTACAGATTTCTTTGTTCCTTCTCCAATCCCCCTGCTTCATTTGACTGGCCTAAAAGAAAAAAAAAGTGGTATTGGTGATCTTGGACTTCTGATAAACTGCTTTCAGCTCTCGAAAGGTAATGCGCTTGTAAGAGTCCAGAGCTTCTGGGATTTCTTAGTTTTGGCGGGAGCCCTCCAGCAGACAGAATAGGGAACTGGTACACCTAGCAGTCTGGATGATAGCCCTGAATTTGGAAGCTGTGAGGCTGCCAAAGGACTACTTTATTTTTTAAACTCCACGTGGATTTTACTTTCTCTTTTCAATCAAAATGTTTTAATATGGAAAGCATTTTAAATTCTATCTCTAGGAAGATGCACCTTGTTCATCTTGTGGCTTTGTGTAATCCCAGCCCACAGTGCTCCTGGTTTGAGATGCATACCTCCTCCAGTAGATGTTCCATCTTATGCAAACGTTATTGAGCATTATATATTTAGCCCTGGGGAGCCAATGAACCCTGTCAGATGGGAAAAAAATGTAGACAAATGTGATGTGGTTGGATCTGTGCTATGACAGGGACATGTTGGGGTGGAGACAAGAACTGGTTGCTTTTGTATGGGAAATTTGTCCATCTGTCCCAAGAGCTAAGAGAGGGCCTCTGCAACATATTTCAGCACATAGATTGGGGGTCTGGGTGATCCAGACCCCTCACCTTTTTTCACCCATTGCTCTTGTAATTATAGATGACTTTGGTAGTGGACTCATCCGTTTATGCAGACACTTAGAAATATTGATGTTTTTCAAATTAGTTTGGGACAAAACATCCAATTACTTAAGTTTCCTATTGCCCATGATCCAATTGAAACCCATCCAAGAACTTTGCTATTCCAGATGAATCTTTTGTTGCATATTTACTTACTATAAGAATATATCACACTGCGATTATTTAGGAAACTTTAGGGCAATGTAATCATAGCTTCAGCTATTCAGAGAAAAAAGTTAATACATATTAATTCCTGATCTCTCAATATTTCTCCCTTTAGCTCTGTCTGTGAAGTGAACAGGGTGATTGGACATAGAGAAATTCCACGGAATGGAGAAGGGAGAGAGACCCTTAGTCTGAGGGTGGGAGAAGACATGTATACAAATGGAGATGCTTCGTTGGAGAGAAGAGAGGCATCCATATGTGTTCATAGCAAATGAAGATTTGAGGGCCTGGAGGGTGAGGCCCAGGAATGGCCTCAATAGTGAAAGGATAGGACGTGTTACAGTGGAGCCATTTCCACAGAGGACAGCAACTGCTAGAGCAGGGTCCTGGGGACACTGAGAAACCCATCACTTGCCCTTGTGTGTGAATGTATCCAGCTTGCTGTTTTACATGCCAGGAAACAACACAATAGCCACTTGACAGTGGAAACTTGCTGTTAGTGAACTACCAGTTCTGAGAAAATCGAGAAAGCGTAAAGCCCAGTTCCTGTCCTAGTCTGACAGGTGGTTTCCTGTGCATTTTGTAATCTTACTTGCTTTATGAGAACTGATATAAATAGCCTCTCAACTTTAGGTGCAAACTCTAACTTTAAGACAAGGAGAACTGAAGCTCAGAGAGCGGAGAAGAGTGCATTTGTGTTTCCTTGGTGCCAGGCAACATGGTGGGCATTCAGCTTTCCCCTGTTTGATCATCAACTTCCTTTGTGAGATGGGTGTTCTTATTTCTGTTATACAACAAAGGAAGTGGAAGAACCCTCAGAGGGAGTTACTTGTTCAGTCATAAAAGTAGTTTCCTCTGGTAATGTTTCACCAACTTCCTTTCATGAGTTGAATAGTGAGGTCAGTATAACTTAATTATGACAGTTTTTGCTTCTCAAAGGACTCCAGACATCTGCATAACCTGTTGCCCTTTCACAGAACGTAGGAGTTAAAGTGGTTTACTTCAAGTTGTGAGGTGACTGAGAGATAATGAAATCTATTATAGAACAGTGAATATTAATATATAACCAAGTTGGCCTTGAGCAGCATCCTCTTGGGGAAGCCCCTCAGGGAACGGTTGTCTTTATCTGTGCTGGGTGCACATAGTGATTTCAGTTACTGAAATCCCAGATTCAGTCTTCAGCATGAAAATTGTTCATTCTAAGTGTATTCCTATCTAGGAATAGCTTTACAGGTGTAGTCATAGAAAGGCAAAGTGAAACAGTTTTCTATTTTTCCATAAATATCTATAGGATTTTTTTTCTTTGAGGCAGGGACTCACTTCGTCACTCAGATTGTAGTGCAGTGGCACGACCACCGCTAACTGCAGTCTCTACCTCCTAGGCTCAAGTGACCCTCCCACTTCAGCCTCCTGAGTAGCAGAGACTATGGACGCTTTCTACCAAGCCCGGCTAACTTTTTAATTTGTTGTAGAGATGGGGCTTCCTATATTGCTCAGGCTGGTCTCAAACTCATGCCCTCAAGCTGGTCTCAAACATCGGCCTCTAAAGTGCTGGGATTATAGGCATGAACCATTGTGCCTGTCCTAGGGATTATTGACAGAAAAGGAAAGGGGTTCATTTTTGTAGGAAACATAGACTTCATTCCTTGAAACCTATGAAATTTTTATGTTGTTAGGTTGGCTGTCTTATGAATCCTAGTTTGAATGCCCAGATGATTTTTACATCTTTTTTAAACCATTCCCCAGTATTGTGCTATAGTACTTCCCTTTCAAGTTAGAAATATGGCACAGATACCAAGATGGTAAGAAATATCTGAAGTTTCCAAGTCTGTGTTGTGGCTTAGCATTTTCTGAAAAAGAGTGCTAGAAATAGGATATGAGCAGCCATATATGCAGTTTATATTTCTTATAGCCATATAAAAAAGTATAAAGAAACAAGTGAAGTACTAATAACTTTAACCCCATATTTCCAAAATGTTAATACTATCATTTCAACATACAATCCATACTAAAAAAAATTTTAGCTGGGCATGGTGGCTCATGCCTGTAATCACGCACTTTGAGAGGCTGAGGTGGGAGAATCACTTGAGCCCAGGATTTTGAGACCAACTTGGGCAACACAGGAGATCCTGTCAGTACAGGAAAAAAAAAATAGCTGGGCATGGTGGAACACACTTGTGGTCCCAGCTGCAGACTCGTTCCACTGTGCTCCAGCCTGAGTGACAGAACAACACTGTCTCAAGAAACTGAGATATTTCTACGATTTTTTTTGTACTAAGCCTTTGAAATCCAGTATGTGTTTTACACTAACAGCCCATCTGAATTCACACTAGCCATGCTTCAGATGCTCAGCAACTACGTATGGCTAATACAGGCTGATGTCCCAAATCCAAAGTATGAAATGTTCTAAAATCCAAAACTTTTTGAGCACTGTCTTGATGTTACAAGTGGGAATTTCCACGCAAAAGTACTTAACACAAAATTTGTTTCATGCACAGAAATTTTTAAAATACTGTATAAAATTTGCCTTTCAGGCTATGTATCCAAGATATATGTGAAACCAATTTTGTGCTTAGACTGGTGTCCCACCCCAAGGTCTCAAGTATATATAAATATTCCAAAGCCTGAAGACAACCTGAAATCAAACACTTCTGGGCCCAAGCATTTTAGATAAAGGACCCAGCCATTTCAGACAGCTTAGTTATATAAAGCAGCTGAAGTGTTAGTCATGGTGCTTCCATAGCCGCATTTATGAAACATTTTTCTTTATTGTGGGACTCCTGGAAGGTTTAATATGCCAGTTTTCATTGTAACCCTAGTTGGTGAGGGTGGGTAGGTAGCACTTCCTAAACTGTTTAGGTGGTGTGGCCTTTTCAGCCCTAGCACAGTCCCTTACCCAGTTCTTACCTCCGGCTTCCTAGGAGCGTTCACTAAACAAGTTTCTACAGAAACTTTGGGAAACATGGTTCAATGAATTTCCTTCCTCTGCTTTTCCCTCCCTTCCTGTCCCCTAGTGTGAAGGAAAACCTGGAAATAGTCTCCCCTCTTCTGCCCACAACTACCTTTAAAAGTTTGCTTTAGTATAACACACGGCTTGGGCAGTCTTTCCCACTGTCTATGTTAGAAGGGCACTAAATTACTCTCTGGGCTCCTGAGTCAGTCTTGATCTCGACTTGTTAGCTGACTGTGGAATCATCTGAAATCAGTTTCAGTTCATCTAGACTGGTAAACCTAGAAGGGGAAGGAGAGAATGGTTTTCTCAGTGGAGAAAGCAAAGCAGCATCCCATAGCTAGGGCAAATGGGAAAAGGATGAATGAACACTCTCCACGTGGTGCAATGTAGGGCAAACCAGTGTCTAGATCAGCCTACTCTGATTGCTCACTGATCACAAAATAAGTGATTCATCCTTTGAGAAGGGTGGTGACCAAGCTCTTGCCCCTTTATTCTTTCTTGGATGTGATATATGAAGTCCGTGTCTTGGAGAGAGGGTACATATACTGAATTCCCCAGTAGATACCATAGTAGGGAGACCCTCTGTGAAGGAGGCAAGTTAGTGGCCTCTGAGGCTCAGATCTTTGGTTCCTCAAAGACAAAAGTATCTTCATTTATCCCCCTTCCTCCAATAAAAGCAAACAAAGATGGTGAAAAGCAAGGGCTTTTTATGATTAATGTTAGTCAGGCAATTCAAACTTTTGAGGCATTTGGCCTCTGCAAATAATCACATAAGATTAGAGTTGCTACTTCATGCCATTTTTGTTGTTGTTGCTTAAATACAAGGCTCAGTAGGGATGGTGAAAAAATAATGTCTAAAAATGCAAGGAAGAAGGTAAAAAAAGAATAAAGCTATTGTAATATTGGGGTTCAGGGTGCCCTCAGCTCCCCTGAGAGGATGTTTCCCCAGATTCTTGATTGCTTGTCCTCTCAAGAATGAGAGAGGGGACCACGGCGCAGTGTGCAGTAAATGCCGGACTCAAAAGTATTTGTAGAAAAGTGATTTTATTTAAAGAGCGAGAGAAACAGGAGAAGGAGAGAGAAGGAAACAGCTAAGTCTCACACTGAGTGAGAGAATCCAGAAAGCTGGAATCCAGGAGAGAAAAAGAGCTTCCACACTGAGTGGAAGGGAATAGAGAGAGATGGAGTTTAGGTGGGGAAGACAGACTTCCACGAGAGAGCGTGGAAGGGGACCCCAGAGGGGAAATCCAGGAGAGAGAAAGACGGCTTCCACGAAGACAGTGTTCATGGAAGGGGACCCTAACATGCAGTCTGAAGAGGTGTAGAAGAAGGGGACTTTTAACCTGGGAGGAACCCCCACTTTCTCTAAGACCCCTGGCCAATGAAAGGAGTTCCTTAGAACTTCCACTGGAGTCATTGAGTTTCTTCTCACGCCTGTGAAATTCAAACATAAACAGTTAAATCTCCTGGAGGGAGAGAGATGGGAGGGGGACATGGCGCTGGGAAGTTCTTCAACTTCAAACTACGCCCCCCTGTGGACCCGGAAAGAAAACACATTCCCTCACTATGATTAAGATAGCTGGGTCTGTGCTGACAGCCCCTCTCGCTCCCTGTCTTAGAGCTACCGGTGTGCTTTTCTCTGAGAAGTGCAGGCTTTAGTGTATTTCCTCTAGACAGAGCTTCTAGGTGATCATCCAAGCACAGCTATCTCTCTCAAAGGAGGGCTAGTCACCCAAAGGGGAAACAGTTATTTCCTATCCTCTCATTCAGCTTGCCAAAACAACTTTGCCTTTTTTTTGTGCTAAAAAAGTAATTAGGAAAAATAAATGTTGTAACTTTTTTGTTAATACTCTGTAAGTTTTCTCTCTCTCACCCCTAGACCAGTGGACTCGAATCTCTGGGGGTGGGTCGCAGGCACTGGTATTTCTGGAAGGTCCTCAGGGGATGCTGGTGCATAGGAAGGGTTGAGATGCCCCGGCCTTAGTCTTTCTCTGTGTAAGCCCAGTCCAGGCTAATACCTCTCCAGGGACCTCTTTCCTTTAGCTGCCTCCTTGCTCTTCACGAATGCTGCTCTCCTGTTGTGTCCTCTCTTCTCTAAATATCTGAATTCTGCTCGGTCCAATTCCTCACTTTGGAACCTTCCTTGCAATCCAGCCTCTTCTCGCTTTCTTCTGTGAGCCTGGCTGTCAAAGATGCCCCCTGGCACTTAGTCCTTGTGCTGTGAGGGACTCATGCAGATCTTGCCTCCTAACTAGAGAATAAGCTCTTCTTAAATGGCAGGTGCCATTTTCCTCATTTTTGTAGCCTTTTTAGCCCTAGGGACAACAGCTTACCAAGTTGTTGATTTTGTGTATATTAAGTTTAAAGCAAAGTGAGAATTTAAGTGTTATCAAAAAGTAACCTAAATTCTTGGGACATTCTGAACCCACAGTAGAAGGCAGGGACTGTTGTTTAGAAACCTGGATATGCTAGATCTCAAAACAGGAATCTGCGTCAATCTCTCATGCAATTACAGTCACTTTTCTCTCTCTCTTTTTTCTGTCGAGCTATATATAGCAGAGGCCAGTAGTAAATATAATATTGTATTTAAGGAAAAAAAAAAACTGAGGTGTGGTCTCAAGCTGATGGTCTACTGAATTTTCTTCTATATGTGATTTTTGCTGGTCTTTGGTAATGTCCTGGACTTACTGAATTGAGTCACTTTTTTCTTACGGTTGCTCGTAGGCTATATATGGGTATAGTGACCATATTTTCTGAGCTCCTGAAGGAACATGTGGGTGGATAACCTTCGTGTCCCTGTGAGAACAGTAGAATGCATTTGTAATTGGGGCTGCTGTATAAATTGAGGCCAAGGTGTGGGGCCAGCTCAGCTCTCTGTCAGCTCTGAGGAGCTTGATCTCTCATTGGTAAGATTCCCTTTTAGACATGGTATAAATAGTGCAAATACCATATTACCTGCCATTTACTGACCCTCTACTGAATGTCAGTTACTCTGTTGTAGCGGCTTTATGTGTATTCTCTTCTAATCCTCCATCACAACCCCACCATGTTAGACCATTGTACAAATATGAAAACTAAGGCTTGAAAGTTGTAACTTGACTACAGTTCCACATATAGCCATGGAAGTCATGTGTTTGGGAGAGAATTGAGTGTGAAAGTTGTAAAGGGTAGGTGTGCCTGAATTCTCATAAATGCTTCCTTGTGCACCACCTCTGCTCTTGGCACTGTTCAAAGTCCGGCATTGCTCTGGGAAGTCTCAGAACAGTAGTACCTGTGAGTGGTAATTTACTGTGTCCTAGAGTTAGCCAGTGAGACAAAAATGTCACCTTGCTTTCCACGTATGTGGCCGCTGTCCCTCTGGTTGTCTCTATTGACGGTGCGAGGGGAAGCTCCTGTACAGGGAGAGCCATGCTGTTCTGAGGGACCCATATTAAATCCCTGGATACAGGGCCTGAGGTTTCTTGATTCAACTGGGCTCAAAATAAACCTTCTCCCACATTTTGCATCCTCTCAGTATGTTGTGGTTTTTTTTTGTTTGTTTGTTTTTTTGCCCCTTAGGCTTCTGGCTAGGCCACTTCCACAGGTTTTATGGTGAGAAGTTTTCCACTGTGATTTGGAAGAAGAGAAGCAAAGTCATTTCTAAGAATCAAAGTTTATTTATGGTATTAGAACCCTTAAGTTTTCTTGAGAAATGCAGAACTCTGGAGACAGAATTGCAGGATGTGGCTCAAGGGTCTGAATGACTCAGTCCAGGTAAACAGCAGTAGAAAGTAGCACCCTTTGGGCATTTCGATGCTGAATTTGTTGCCTTGCTCTTTGCCCCTCCCAGGAGAAGACAATCACTGTCTTCAGTGACCTAAGGAACATGTGGGTGGGTAGGGAGGATAAGCAGTGAGTGTAAAATGGGAATGAGATTTTTATAAAAGGAAGAACAAAGTGCCAGGAGGTTTTGTTCCCAGACCAAACCAAGAGTTGGGCTGCTATTTCTTGTGACCCAGTAATGAGATGCAGATGAACTGGGGAGGAAGAGAGTTTTTATTTCTACAACTGGTTATAGGGAGAAGGCCCAGAAATTATCACCAGACCAACTCAAAATTGAAAAGTTTTCCATAGCTTATATGCCTTCTAAGCTATGTGTCTACATGTAAGTGTATATTCATCTAAACACATAAGTGATTAACTTCTTTTAATCTATCACTAAGGTCTGAGTCCTGAAGACCTCCTTCTGGAGCCTTTGTAAGTTTACTTAATCTAAATGAGTCTAGGTGCTGGGGTGATTACCCTTATCTTATCTCCTGCTAAATCATAAAGATCTGGGGAGTTCCTTTTGACCCCAATAAACTTGGTTGTGGAGGCCTGGGGAGTTGCCTTAATCCTAGAAGCATCCTCTTAAGAATTATTTCTTTATCTTGTCATGCTTCAAGGCCCAGGAAAAGTCTAGGCAAAACTCTTGGTGGGCTCTTTGTTACAATCCAGACTTTTGTATAGGGGCACCAGCTCAATCGGCTTTTAATGTTTGACCTAGCTACTCAGTCTGTGAGACAGTTGAAATGGAGGCCTGCATTAGTGAGACCTGGCCTGCCACAGTATGGAGGAAGGGGTAATGCTGTTGGGGGCATCAATCTGGAGGGTTTCTGAGTCTTGGACCTGGAAGGAGGAGTAGGATTTTTTGGCAGGCAGAAGTGACAGGGAGTCCCAAGCAGTGGGTTCTGCTTGAGTTCTAAGGGGTGGGAGCAGGAAATGGTAAGGGAACTAAGTGTTCCCTTGTGATTGGATACCCAGGACTTGGAAGGCTGGGCTGGATAAGGAGCCTGTAGTGATGTGTTGAAGATTTGAAATTTCTTCTGGAAGCTTAAGTGTGCATGTATGTATTATTCTATTCAGCTTTTTTTTTTTTTTAACACCAACTCTTTATTAACAAAATGAATTACATTTTTAATACCAAAAAAGAGTAGTTTTGCCACATGAATAAAAGGTAGAATATATAAATAATGGGTGAGGATATCTGTATCCTTCTGTATAAGGCCAGTAAGAAAATCCCAACAATTAAGACTAATTTTTCAATGGTTCGTTAATCACAAAACAATTAAACAACTATGTAAAAATTAAGACTATCTGCATATTGGAAGTACATTTCAGTTCACATATGCATTCAACACATTTTAAAGTGGATAGAAAAAATTTTATTAACTGGCTGAGGAAAAAAACCTACATATTAAACTTACATATTCTTGCTTAAGGAGTACTAATATTCTTGCTTAAGGAGTACTCACCTCAGTGTTTCTTTGCAGAAGCAGTGGAAATCCTTGATTCAATTATTAACAAAGTGCATACTGCATCCCGGAAAATGTACTAGGTGCTGTATAACATATCTTTTCTGGGGCATAGGTACTGCAGGGAAGATAGAAAAGCATTAAACAAATGCTTGTTCCTCTGTTCCAGCTTTAGTCACGCTGGCCTCATTTTTGTTCTTCCAACTTGTCTTAGTCTGTGCTGCTATAACAAAATACCACAGATTGGGTAATTTATAAAGAACAGAAATTTATTTTCTCACAGCTTTGAAGGCTGGAAGTCAAGATCAAGGCATCAGCAGGTTTGGCATCTGGTGAGGGCTGTTGTGCTTCCAAGATAGCGTCTTGTTGCTGTGTCCTCTGGAGGTGAGGAATGATGTGTCCTCACATGGTTGAAGGGGATGAGATGACAGGAGAGCACTCCCTTCGCCCCCAAGCTCTTTTATAAGGGTGTTAATTCTATCTATGAGGGCAGAACGCTGATGACTTAATTCCCTCCCAAAGTTCACACTTCTTAATACTTTGCTTTGGGGATTAAATTTCAACATGAATTTTGGAGGGCCACCATTATTCAAAGCATAGTACAATTCATTAAGGTTATTCCTGCTTCAGGGCATTTGCACTTGCTGCACTGTCCTGTCAACAGTAACTTTCTCTCCCAGATTGTCTGGGAGAGACATGTCTCATTCCTTTTTCTTACAAAGGCCCTTGCTTAGAAGTTACATTCTCGGGGGTTTCCTTGACCTTGCTTTTTTAAAACAGCCTCCTCTACCCCCTGTCTTCACCCTGGCCACTGTTAATCTACCCAGTTTTATTTTTTCCTACCACTTAGCATGCAGAAAGAGTAGAGAATGAATGTTTATGCTGAAGTGTGACCAGGATGGGAGGAAGGCTTTTCTCATGTTGAAAGAATGAGAATCTCATGATTCCCTCATGAAGGAGAGATTCAACATAGGGGTAAGAATACAGATAATAAATGGAGCCAGGGCAAGGGCACAGGATTGGCAGAGAATTAGGTCACTTTTTTTTGTCCTTTTCAGGCTGGAAGGGAGATTAGAGAAGAGGAACATTTCTCTCCTTAGCATCTTGTTTTGTAGGATATTGATATGGCTTGGCTCTGTGTCCCTACACAAATCTCATGTTGAATTGTAATCCCCACGTATTGAAGGAGGGGCCTGCTGGGAGGTGATTGGATCATGGGGGCAGTTAGGACCATAGTTCTCATGGCATCCGATGGGTTAAATGTGTGGCAGCTCACCACTCGCTTGCTCTCCCCTGCCACCATGTGCCTTGTGTCCCCTTCACTTTCCACCATGTTTTTAAGTTTCCTCAGGCCTCCCCAGTCATGTGAAATTGAGAGGCAATTAAACCTCTTTTCTTTGTAAATTACCCAGTCTCAGGTAATTCTTATTTATAGCAGTGTGAGAGTAGACTAATACAGAGAATTGGTTCCAGGAGTGGGATACTGCTTTAAGGATACCTGAAAATGTGGAAGCAGCTTTGGAACTGAGTAACAGGCAGAGGTTGGAACAGTTTGGAGGGCTTATAAGAAGACAGGAAGATGTGGGAAAATTTTGAACTTCTAGAGACTTGCTGAACGGTTTTGACCAAAATGCTGATAGTGATATGGACAGTGAAGTCCAGGCTGAGGTGGTCTCAGGTAGAGATAAGGAACTTATTGGGAAATGGAATAAAGGTCACTCTTGCTATACTTTAGCAAAGAGACTGGTGGCATTTTCCCCCTTTCCTAGAGACCTATGGAACTTTGAACTTGAGATAGGTGATTTAGGGTATTGGCTGGAAGAAATTTCTAAGCAGCAAAACATTCAAGATGGGGCCTGGCTACTCCTTACAGTGTGCAGTCATATGTGTTCACAGATAGATGATCAGAAATTGGAACTAGTGTTTAAAAGGGAAGCAGAGCATAAATGTTTGGGAAATTTGCAGCCTGGCCATGCAATAGAAAAGAAAAACCCATTTTCTGGGGAGAAATTCAAGCCAGCTACAGAAATTTGCTTGAGAGGAGCTGAATGTTAATATCTAAGACAATGGGGAAAATGTCTCCAGGGGGAATTTCAGAGATCTTCACAGCAGCCCCCACATTACAGGACCAGAGGCCTACAAGGGAAAAATGGTTTTGTGGGTCAGGCCTTGGGCCGTGGTGCCCTGTGTCCCAGCTGGTCCAGCTCCAGCTGTGGCTAAAAGGGCCAAGATATAGCTTGAGCTGTTGCTTCAGAGGGTGCAGGCCCCAAACCATTGTGGCTTCCATGTGGTGTTGGGTCTGTGGGTGTGCAGGAGGCAAGAGTTTGGGAGCCTCTGCCTAGATTTCAGAGGATGTATGGAAATGCCTGGATGTCCACGCAGAAGTCTGCTGCAAGGGGGAGCCCTCATGGATTGCATTGTATGCCTGGAAAAGCATCAGACACTCAGCACCAGCCTGCAAAAGCAGCTGTGGGGGCTGTACCCTGCAGAACCACAGGGGAAGAGCTGCTCAAGCCTTAGGAGCCCACTCCTTGCATTAGTGTGGCCTGGATGTGAAAAACAGAGCCGAAGGAGATTATTTTGGACCTTTAAGATTTAATGACTGCCCCGCTGAGTTTCAGACTTGCATTGGGCCTATAGCCCCTTTGTTTGGCTGATTTCTTCCTTTGGAATGGGTCTGTTTACCCAATGGCTCTACCCCCGTTGTATCTTGCAAATAACTAGTTTTTGATTTTACAGGCTCATAGGCAGAAGGGACTTGCTTGTCTCAGATGAGACTTTGGACTTGGACTTTTGAGTTCATGCTGGAATGAGTTTAAGACTTTGGGGGACTGTTTGGAAGGCATGATTGGTTTTGAAATGTGAGAAGTACATGAGGTTTTGGAGGGCCCAGGGGCAGAATGATATGGTTTGGCTGTGTCCCTACCAAAATACCATGTCAAATTGTAGTCCCCACATGTTGAGGGTCCCGGAGGGAGGTGATTGGGTCATGGGGGCAGTTTGTAATGGTTTAGCACCATCACCCTCATGCTGTCTCATGAGCAAGTTCTCATGAGATCAGGTGATTTAAATGTGTGTGGCAGTTCTCTCCTCTCATGTTCATTCTCTCTGTCTCTCTCTGTCTCTCTTTTCCTCTGTCCCCCTTTCTCTTTCCCTCTCTCTTCCACACTCTTGCACCCACTCCTGCTGCCATGTAGTACCTGGCTTGCTTCTGTAAGTTTTATTGCCGATGTAAAATGAGGAAACTGAGGCAAGTATTGAGAAAATGAGAAGCTAATTTATTTAGCTCCTGGGCGAGGTTCTGTGGTCCAGGAAGGGGCCAAAGAAGTCGTGCCCGGCTGTTTAGGTCATGGGATTTTATGGGAAGGGAAGGCGATTGATTGGCTATTGGGTAAACAAAGCAAAGGCAATTTTATTGGCTGTCAGGAAGCAGGAAGTGCCTGAAACTAGTTGCTCTTGGTAGGTGGGTGGGACTTTGGGTAAGTGGGTCTTGATTGGCTGTTGGGGAAACAAAGTGAAGGCAATCCTATTGGCTATTAAGAAGCAGGAAATGCCTGGAGCTAGTGGTTATGGGTAGGTGGGCGGGACCTTGGGTAAGCAGGCCTTCCTGGGTCATACAGAGCAGACAGCTATCGGGCAGAGTCTGATGGGCCTGCTTTTAAAAAATTTTCCTGCAGGGTTTATTAACAGTGGGCTGGGGGTTGAATGCATAATTTAGTGCTGAATGTGGGCTTGGGTCTGGCATATGGAGGCGGGTGCGGGGAAGCTGTGCGGCAAGACCAGATAACGAGCTTGGGTGATGATGCAGTTATCAGGCGCGGAGAGAGATGGATATGTCCGTTTAACCCTCTGTGAGGCAGCTGGCCTTACATTTTGACCTTTTGTATGATATAGGACGCCGATGTTTTCCGGCTACTTCGTGCTGAACAGGGGTGGAGTGGGGGGTGGGTCAGTTGGCTGGTGCCTTGGTTGTGAGTTGGATGTAGGGGTGAAGCAGCATTTGATTTACAGCTACCTTGGAAATTTCCCTTATGCAAGCTTGCAAAAACCTGAGAAAGAAAGGGGCTAGCATTAGCAAAAGACAAATTACGATAATGGGAGTGATGATAGGGGTTAGCCAGGTAAGTATGGGGGACTGCTACCAGTTAAGAGAAGAGGCTGGTACGCTTTTTTTTCTTTTTTTGGAGGTCTTTTTGAAGATGATAGAGAGTGTTGACATTTTTTTCCCCTAGACTGATTTTATTAATGTAATAACAACATTGTTTTTGGAGAAATAAGCAGGTACCTCCCTTTTTTTTTTCTGTTAACAGGTTTAGGGCCCGCTGATTTTGGAGAGTTACTTGAGCCAGTGATGTGACTTGTTGTTGGAGGGTTACTAGAGGGGTGGCTGATGCTTTAATGGCTACCCAGAGTTTGTTGTCTAGTTGAGGGGCTGAAGTGATGCTGTAACTTAGAGCACCACTCCCCACTCCTACAGCTGGTAGAGAGGAAGCTAGGGAGAGGCCGACCATTATTGGGAGGAAGATTAGTTAAGCTCTCCCGAGGTTTAGTAAGTGTATTTATGAGTTTAGGACAGGAATGGGCTGGGGAGGGACAGTGGAGCAGAAGAGGAAGCAGAGTAGCCGGGTTGAGTGGAGAAGTAGGATGGAGGCTAACTGAAGGATTTTTAATAAAGAGTAGATGAAACTTTTGTAGATGAGAGGGCCCTAGGTGAGTGAGAGATTTGTGTGAGAGAAGGTTAGTTAGTTGATGAGGTGAGAACACTGAAATCGACTGGCTGAAGGTAATTTTTAGGGGTTGCAGGCAAGGCTGCCACCCCTTGACTTTGGGGTTAAACTGGACAAATAGGCTACAGGACGATATGTGGGGTTTTAAAAGCTTGTTTTACAACCCCTGGATGGGAGAGGGGTGAAGGAGTGAGAGAATGGTGCCCCTCGAGGTTACAGGCTAAGGAAGGAGTCTGGTTGGGTCAGGAGGGCTTTTCATTAATTCCCATAAGTGACACCTGGGAAGGTATGCTAGTTCCTGAGTAGGAAGGCAATACAGAACAGGTAGCTCCTGTATTTGCCAAGAAGTAAATGGACTTACCCGCTACCTTGGGCTTGGCAAGGGTGAGAGGGGTCTCTGAGTCTGGGCCACATTAGTTGTCCAGGAGGCTGAGGAGTTTAAACGAAGGGACTGCATCCTTTGGACTGGCTTGCCCCTCACATGGAGGTGTGGGGGTGAGCCTGTAGTCCAGAACGGGCAGTCTACCTTCTAGTGTCCGATCTGTTTGCAGGTAGGGCAGGGTCCAAGGGCCGGACGTGGACAGGGGCACTGTTGGGCCCAGTGTCCCTCCTGGCTGCATTTGAAACAGGGCCTGGGCAGGACCTTTGAAGCAGTCTGGGCGGGTCTAGAGGGTCCTAAGGGACCCTCTTGGAGGGGCTTTGATAGGCCCTTTGTACCAGACGCTTGGTGAGTTGCTGGCCTTAGAGCTGCTACAAGAGCTTGGGTTTGGAGGCTTACCTGTTGCTGTAAATGGGCCTGGTGGGTGGCTTTAGCCTTTTCCTCTTGGCCATTAAACACTTTAAATGCCAGGTTTACCAGGTCTTGTATGGGAGTTTGGGGACCCTCTTCTGCCTTTTTTAGTTTTTTTCCTAATATCTGGTGCTGACTGGGAGATAAAATGGGCTGCTGGGAGGGTAGTCCCAGCCAAAGAGTTTGGATCTACTTGAGTATGAAGGACCGTAGCGTTAGTTAGTCGGTCTAGGAAAGCAGCTGGATTTTTAGTAGGACCTTGGGTTATTTCCCGCAGTTTATTATAATTAACTACTTTTTGGGCTCCATTTTCCATGCCCGCCAGGAGGCACTGTAGCATCTGGTTTCGGTGGCGGTGGCCATTTTGGCCAGTTAGATAGTCCTACTTAGGATTAGCTTCATGGACTGCCACTGCACCCACTGGCATCTGAGGATTAGTGAGATGTACCTGATCAGCGTGTGCCATGACTGCCACAAGGATGCGGTTATGCTTATCAGGAGTAAGGGTAGAGGACAGGATTACATAAGTGTCATGCTAGGTAAGGTCATATGCCTGAGTGAGATAACGAAATTCCTTGATGTAAGCAGTAGGATTGGCGGAGAATGACCCTAAGCGTTTTTCAAGGGTGGACAGATCAGTAAGGGAGAAAGGAACATGTACTCGGACCACACCCTCTGCTCCGGCCACCTCATGGAGAGGACAAAGGAGGGAGTTTTTGTTGCTGGGAGTGCTGTGTGAGTGAGTGTGAGCACTAACAGGAGAGGCTATGTTAGCACTTGGAGGAGGAGGAGCAGGAGGGGGTTGGGGGTCCAGGTATGGTGGGGGATTAGAGGGTCGAGTGGGGGGTAGGGAGAGTTCCTCAGGCAGATTGGGTTTGGAAAAAGAAGAGGAGGTTGGCGAAGGGGCCGAGGGCAGTGTGGGGACGTTTTTGGCCAGGAGTACTTGGGCAGTACTGCAGGATGAGCAGAGGCCGGGGTGGGAACGAAGATGCCAGAAAGTTTGAATATAGGGAACCTCCACCCACTTGCCGTTCTTCTGGCAAAAGTTGTCTAAATCTGTTAAAACGTTAAAGTCGAGGGTGCCCTTAGGATGCCACCTGGACTGGTTGTCTAGAGGATACTGTGGCCAAGCTACAGAGGAGAGGAAGAGTAACCTTTTCTTTTTTATAGAAAGACCCAGTCTGGGTAGATTTTGGACTAGGCATCCTAGTGGTGACTTGAAGTCTGGGCAGGATTTCTGATTACCCATATTTCATGTTTTTAGTGGCCTAAGGGTGAGAAGTGGACACGGAAAGAAATTATACTCAACACGGGCAGAAAAGCCTTTTTCCTGGAGGGGGTGGCTGAGAGAACCTACAGGCTGCAATGACAATAATGAGAAAGAAAATAAAGACGGACAGGGCTAGAGCTATTTGCCACATGGCAGAATTAGGGAAAGTGAAAGGAGTGGAACTGGGAAGTGGGGTTTTAGTGGTAGAAGAAAAGTAGAAGGAAAAAGGAGAACAGTTATCTTTAGAGGTTGGAACTCAATGAAGGTCTCCTGAAGCCAGTGGTTTGTTACCCACTGTAAAATATCTGTTACCTCAAGGGAAGCAGGCTTGAACCGCTGTATATCGGCTAGTAAGAGCCTAACAAAGCTGGCAAATCTACAGTAGAGACAAGACCACATATAAAATTGACAGACAAAGGGTGGATGCCCCCCAGGTGGGAGACCAGTCTGATGCCTTCCCGGCCACGTCCCCTAAGGAATGTTTCAGGGGCGTCTTGGCTAAGCTGTACCCGTATGACCCCCGGGCCTTGTCACCCCAGAACTGTTAGCCCTGAGGTGAATCACTGTTATGCCTTATGACGTCCCCGTGGAACCGCAGGTGGAGGCCCACACAAACCCCGTAGCCATTAAGCTGTGGGACTACACATGAACTCACTCACCCACACACACGCTCAGGAATAGAGAGAGAGAGAGAAAAAGCCAAATGCACCTGTGCGGGAGCTGGCTTGCCAAAGGACAAGTTTGAGATTGAGAGCCAGAGGTCTGATTTTAGTCCTAGGCAGAGCCCAGGCTTGTGAACAGGGTTTCTGATTACCTAAACCTTAGCCACTGCTGCAGAGATGATCAGAAGGGCCGCTTAGCGTCCTGGGCCGTCCCCCAAACACTGGAGACTATGAGAGGGCTCAGGAAGGTGGGGACGTCTCCTTCAGATTCCTGGCCCTGAGTGACCCCTTACAGGGAGAAGACAAGAGTGTAGGGACGTCTTCGCTACGCTCAGATCCTCAGAACGAGACTGGGGCCCTGGGCCCATGGTGAGAGACAAGAAGGAGTCCCTGACCCGGCCACGGTTACAAGCAGGGAGTCCACAGAGCAGGCAGTGGGAAAAGTTATGGGCAACAGAAGGTTTACCTCATGGCAGAGTGGCTCCTGGTCCGGCCTCGGGTGGAGGAGTCAGTTCCCCCCCCAGGAGGGGTCTTACAACTCCTCCCGGGTTTCGGCACCAAAATGTAAGGTTTATTGCCAATGTAAAATGAGGAAACTGAGGCAAGTATGAGAAAATGAGAAGCCAATTTATTTAGCTCCTGGGCAAGGTTCTGTGGTCCAGGAAGGGGCCAAAGAAGTTGTGCCCGGCTGTTTAGGTCATGGGGTTTTATGGGAAGGGAAGGCGATTGATTGGCTATTGGGTAAACAAAGCAAAGGCAATTTTATTGGCTGTCAGGAAGCAGGAAGTGCCTGAAACTAGTTGCTCTTGGTAGGCGGGTAGGACTTTGGGTAAGTGGGTCTTGATTGGCTGTTGGGGAAACAAAGTGAAGGCAATCCTATTGGCTATTAAGAAGCAGGAAATGCCTGGAGCTAGTGGTTATGGGTAGGTGGGCAGGACCTTGGGCCTTGATTGACTGTTGGGGAAACAAAGTGAAGGCAATTTTATTGGCTATTATGAAGCAGGAAATGCCTGGAGCTAGTGGTTATGGGTAGGTGGGCGGGACCTTGGGTAAGAGGGCCTTCCTGGGGCATACAGAGCAGACTGCTACTGGGCAGGGTCTGATGGGCCTTCTTTTAAAAAAATTTCCTGCAGGGTTTATTAACAGCGGGCTGGGGGTTAAATGCATAATTTATAGTACTGAATGTGGGCTTGGGTCTGGTATGCAGAGGTGAGTGCGGGGAAGCCATGCGGCAAGGCCAGATAATGAGCTTGGGTAATGACGCAGTTATCAGGCGTGGAGAAAGATGGATGTGTCCGTTTAACCCTCTGTGAGGCAGCCAGCCTTACAGCTTCCCCTTCACCTTCCACTGTGATTGTAAGTTTCCTGAGGCCTCCCAGCCATGTGGAACTGTCATTCAATTAAACCTCGTTTCTTTAAAAATTACCCAGTCTCAGATAGTTCTTTTTAGTAGTATGAGAATGGATTAATACAGATCTCTACTGATGTGAAAGTCTTCCAGAGTGGGACTGGGAACCTGAGGAGATCTGAAGCTTCAAACTGCTTTCCAGAGAGAAGCAGGGGCAGTCCACCTAAAGTAAGAGGTCATGGAAATACAATGAAGGCCCAGCTGAGCATAGAAAACATCAATTTGTAGTAAGCGCAGTTATTGTGTTATTTCAACAAATATTGATCATCTCCTCTGCTAGGCATTGTGGTTGGCAGAGTGATATGGCCAGTGCCATCACCCACCCATACAGTGGCACCTTTGTACAGTCAGAAGGTTATTTACACCCTGGGTAGTGGTAGCCCTCACAAACATGTGGCTTGACTTTGTCTGAATTAGAAAAAAAGTGCAGTTGCCTCTGGTTGGATGCAGGTTGATCAGGGTGCACAACTTGGAAAGTGTAACATTGGACTGAAATTCAGCCATGTAGCCATACATGGTGAGCCAAAATTCAACAGTGAACAAGGTAGACATGGTCCTTGCCTTCCCAGACCTTCCAAGGTGGAGGAAGAAACAGAGGAGTAAACTGACGTTTGTAGTTAGGACAGCTTAAAGACTTCAGAGCAAGGATTATTCTGGTGTCTAGAAGTGGTTGGGGGTCTGGGGGTGACCTGGGACTAGGTGTTCAAAGAAAGCATCAGAACAGATGAACACATCCACTAGGGAATCTTCCATGCATTGCTGAAATTGCTGACTTCATGGTCACTTATTGGTAGGGAGGCTCTCTAGTGGATATGGGTAAAGACCATAGTTAAGGGCCATTGAGGATGGGGAGGGAGGAGGATAGGAGGAAAAGGGATTTGGCATGGCAGGTGCTGAAATACTTGTAACTGAGAAAAGGAAGGGAAATGGTTGGCATGAGACTGCACAGGGACATACACTTTAAAAAGAAGATATTATTGAAATTGCCATCCCAGCATGGTCTGAGGGGCAGGGAATGCCCTGGCTTCCCACTCTTGCCCAGCCCAGTGAGACCCAGCCGAGTACACAGGGACATGAGCTCTATTAGGATGCAGTTTGCTCATGTGGAACAGCTTTCAAAGGTAGCATTGCTGACAGAGGAGGACAATTGCAGGTGTAAAGTCTGACCTGGAAATGGATTGAGCACCTGGTGAGGGATGTGGGTCTATAGGACTCCATGTGTTGCTGTCTGAGGAGAAAGACTTTTGTGTAATCACACAGAAAGTTTAGAAGTAACACCAAAAAGTCTTTTCACACTTTTTGCCCTACCTTCTCCCTAAGAATGTAGAAGTGAATGTTTTCCTGGCATTGCCCATCCAGAATTTTGCTTTTCTGCAAAGAGCTTTCTCTGTTTTGCCTTGCCCCTCTCTGGGAATGTTGGGAGCATTGCCAAAGGATGAATTTGTCAGCTGGAGTTCAGAGTTGTGATGCCTTAGAAATCAGTCCTTGGTTCTGCTCTAGCAGAAAGTAACTGGGCTTTTGCTCAGGAAAACCTGGACCTCAGAGAGCCCCATGGTTTACCATTGGTATTTCTTTGGGAACAACAGAGCCTAGCCTGGGAGGCATCTGTTAGGGTGTTGCACCTTTGTGGCTGGCAATTAATGACCTCCTGGTCTGCAGGACCAGGCCACAGCTTCTGTGGTGCTGTTGCATGCCTGTCCTACAGCAGTGAGACACATTCTGTTCCAACAGGCCAGGCCCCAGATGAGTGATAAGATGAGATGGTCTCTACTGGTGAGAGACACGCTGAAGAAAAAGCTGTTGGCCACTTCTGCTTTGAGTCTTTCGTTTACTCAACATTCATTGAGTGTCTACAGATGTCACACTGTAGGGAAGGAAAACAAGTGTAGTAGTTTCCACTTATCCACATTTTCACTTTTCTAGGTTTCTGTTACCTATAGTCAGCTATAGTCCAAAAATATTAAATGGAAAATTTCGGAAATAATTTGCAAGTTTTAAATTGTGCACTGTTCTATGTAATATGATTAACCTTCACTCTGTCCTGCTCCTGCTGGGGACATGTATCATCCCTTTATCTAGTGTATCCATACCGTAGATGCTACCTGTCCATTAGTCACTTAGTAGTCATCTTGTGTATCTGATTGACAAAATAGAATATGTATAGGGTTTGGTACTATCTGTGGTTTTGGGCATCCACTGGTGGTCTTGGAGTGTATCCCTCACAGATAAGGGGAGATTACTGTATACTGTCTTTCTCACTGTTAACTAACTGCCAGTCTTAGTGTGGGATACAAGCAATACATTTTGGTGTAGTTAAGTGTAAAGACTGAGCAAAGTGATCTGGGTGCTCTGAGACAAAAACGGCTTGCCTTCTGAAGGGAGTGCCCAGAATGGTGCCCAGAAAGGATTTACAGTGAAGTTGATATTTGTGTTGAGCTGTGAAGGATGATGATACAGTTTGGCTTGGTCCTCACCCAAATCTCATCTTGAGTTTTAGCTTCCATAATCCCAAGTGTTGTTGGAGGGACCCAGTGGGAGAAGATTGAATCATGGGAGCAGTTTCCCCCATACTGTTCTTGTAGTGAATAAGTCTCATGAGATCTGATGATTTTATAAGAGGTTTCCCCTTTTGCTTGGCTCTCATTTTTCTCTCTTGCCTGCCACCATGTAAGTCGTGCCTTTTCCCTTCTGCCATTTGGAACTATGAGTCCATTAAATCTCTTTTTCTTTACAAATTATCCAGTCTCGGGTATGTCTTTATCAGCAGCGTGAAAATGGACTAATACAATAAATTGGTACCAGGAGTGGGTTGCTGCTGTAAAGATACCCAAAAATGGGGAAGCAACTTTGGAACTGAGTAACAGGCGGAGGTTGGAACAGTTTGGAGGGCTAAGAAGAAGACAGGAAAATGTGGAAAAGTTTGGAACTTCCTAGAGACTTGGAGGGCTCACAAGACAGGAAGATGTGGGAAAGTTTGCTTCCTAGAGATTTATCGAATGGCTTTGACCAAAATACTGATTGTGATATGGACAATAAGGTTCATGCCAAGGTGGTCTCAGATGGAGATGAGGAACTTGTTGGGGACTGGAACAAAGGTGACTGGTTATGTTTTAGAAAAGAGACTGATTAGTCTGATTAAAATCAGACTAATTAGACTGATTAGACTGAAAAGAGGCTGAAATTCCCCAGCCCTAGAGAATTGTGGAACTTTGAACTTGAGAGAGATGGTTTAGGGTATCTGGCAGAAAAATTTCTAAGCAGCAAAGCATTCAAGATGTGACTTAGGTGCTGTTAAAATCATTCAGTTTTAAAAGGGAAACAGAGCATAAAGGTTCAGAAAATTTGCAGCCTGACAATGAGGTAGAAGAAAAAACATTTTCTGAGGAGAAATCCAAGTTGGCTGTGGAAATTTGCATAAATAATGAGGAGCCAAATGTTAATTGCGGAGACAATGGGAAAAATGTCTCCAGGGCATATCAGAGACCTTTGAGGCAGCCCCTCCCATCACATGCCCAGAGGCCTAGGAGGAAAAAATGGTTTTGTGGGCTGGGCCCAGGCCCCCCCCCCCACCATATGCAGCCTAGGAACTTGGTGCTCTGTGTCCTAACAGCTCTAGCCATGGCTAAAAGGGGCCAAGGTACAGCTCAGGCTATGGCTTCAGAGCTGCACGTTGCAGCTTCCATGTTGTGTTGAGCCTGTGGGTGCACAGAAATCAAGAATTGTGGTCTGGGAACCTCTGCCTGGATTTCAGAGTATGTATGAAAATGCCAGGATGTACAGGCAGAAATTGCTGCAGGGCAAGGCCCTCATGGAGAACCTCTGCTAGGGCAGTGCAGAAGGGAAATGTGGGGTTGAAGCCCCCACACAGAGTCCCCAGGGGGCATTGCCTAATGAAGCTGTGAGAAGGCGGCACCATCCTGCAGATGCCAAAATGGTAGATCCGCCGAAAGTTTGCACCCTGTGCCTGGAAAAGCCAACCTGTGAAAGCAGCTGGGAGGGAGGATGTACCTTGCAAAGTCACAGGGACAGAGCTGCCCAAGACCATGGGAACCCACCTCTTGCATCAGCATAACCTGGATGTGAGACATGGAGTTGAAGCAGATTATTTTGGAGCTGTAAGAATTGACTGCCCTGCTGGTTTTCGGACTTGCATGGGGCCTGTAGCCCCTTTGTTTTGGCCAGTTTTTCTGAGGTGGAATGAGTGTATTTACCCAATGCCCATACCCTCATTGTATGTAGGAAGTAA